CCATTCAGTTCTCTGCTTGTGACCTGGGAAAGCAGTGGAGGATGGACAAAATCCTAGGGACCCTGCACCTGCATGGGAGGCCCAGAAGAAGCTCTTGGCTCTTGGCTTCAGATCAGCTCATCTCTGACCACTGAGGCCACATGGGGAGTAGATCAATAAATGGAAGATGTTCCTTTCTGTCTCTCCTCCTCTCTGTAATTTCTGCCTTTCCAAATAAATAAATAATCTAAAAAAAAAAAAAAACAAGAAATGGGCAAATGATCTGATAGATATTTTTCAAGAGAAAAAATTTTAATAATGAATTAAAAGATTTATTTATTTTTGTTGGAAAGGCAGATTTAGAGAGAGAAGAGAACAAGAGAAAAATCTTCCATCCACATGTTCACTCCCCAAGTGGCTACAACTGCCAGAGCTGATGTAGAGCTAAGAACTAGGAGTCATGGGCCCGGCGCGGTGGTGCAGTGGTTGAGGTCCTCGCCTTGCACGCCCGGGATCCCATATGGGCGCCGGTTCTATCCCGGCAGCCCCGCTTCCCTTCCAGCTCCCTGCCTGTGGCCCTGGAAAGCAGTCGAGGACGGCCCAAAGCTTTGGGACCCTGCACCCGTGTGGGAGACCCGGAAGAGTCTCCTGGCTTCGGATCGGCATAGCATTGGCCGTTGCGCTCACTTGGGGAGTGAATCATCGGATGGAAGATCTTCCTCTCTGTCTCTCCTCTCTGTATATCTGCCTTTCCAATAAAAAATAATAAAAATAAATCTTAAAAAAAAAAAAAAAGAACTAGGGGCCAGGAACTTCTTCCAGGTCTCCCACATGGGTGCAGGGTCCCAAGGCTTTGAGCCACCCTCTACTGCTTTCCCAGGTCACAAGAAAGGGAGCTGGAAGGAAAGCCAAACAGCCAGGACATGAACCAGTATCCACATGAGATCATGATACATCCAAGCCGAGGATTTAGCCACTGAACCACTGAAAAAATTTTGAAAAGTTCTCAGGGATATGAAAATCAAAACACAATCAGGTATCATCTCACTCCAATTAGAGTGAAAATTACCATCCATGAGCCCCAGGAGTGGGTGGGCCCAGAGGGGCCTGTGTTGCCTGGCCCAGGCCATTGGGCCCACCTGCGTGGTGGGTGCTGGTCAGTGAGCCCCAGAGGTGAGAGGGGTCCAGCAGGTTCTAGGCTACCTGACCCAGGTCCTTGGGCCTGCCTGTGTCCTGGGTGCTGGATCTGTGAGCCCCAGGAGTGGGGGTTTCTGGTGGGTCCCAAGTTGCATGGCCTGGGGCTTTGGCCCCATTTGGACAGTGGGTCCTGGATCTGAGAGCCCCAAGGATGAGGGCCCCATTGGGCTTGGGTCACCTGGCCTGGGTTCCTGGGCCCACCTGCAGGAAGGTCTGTGTTCATGAGTCCCAGGGTTGGAAGTCCAGGTTGCCTGGCCCAGGTCCACAAGCCCACCTAAGAGAACTGGTCCTCCTTAGTGTAAAGGATGGATGGCAGACCATGGTGCACACGGAGGACATGGTAGCCCATTGGAGCTTGCAGAGGACATCTGGTACCACACAGCCAAGAATGGAGAACGGAGCATATGGACAACTACCCTAGCCAAACAATGACAGCAAATATCTGGGCAAATGGAGACTCTTTTTTTTAAAAGATTTATTTTTATTTATTTATTTTTTATTGGAAAGGCAGATATACAGAGAGGAGAGACAGAGAGGAAGCTCTTCCATCCGATGATTCACTCCCCAAGTGAGCGCAACGGCCGATGCTATGCCAATCTGAAGCCAGGAGACTCTTCTGGGTCTCCCACACGGGTGCAGGGTCCCAAAGCTTTGGACCATCCTCGACTGCTTTCCCGGGCCACAGGCAGGGAGCTGGAAGGGAAGCAGGGCTGCCGGGATAGAACCGGTGCCCATGTGGGATCCCAGGCGTGCAAGGCAAGGACCTTAACCACTTGCGCCACGGCGCCGGGCCCCAAATGGAGATTCTTAAGGTCAATGGACATTGGAAGGGATTCCTCAGCCATAGATCGGTGAGATCGACAGCATTTCAGAACTGTTGCATCCACCTATCTGGGCAGAACCCTCAGAGCATATGCCACATTGTGACCCTGGGTTGATAACAGGTGACCTTTCCCCACCCTTGGGTACTGGAATAGTCTTGAGGTTGGGCATGGCCTATCCCCTTATCTCCCCCCACTCCTCCCAAAAATGGGAAGAAGAAATAGAAAATTTGGAAACAATGATCATACCCATTTCTCCCTAACCCTAGATCCTTTCCTCCCTGATCTACTATGTAAACATCATCTGAAATAATAATATATTAAAAAAGAGTTGGATATTACCAAGAAGACAAAAAACAACAAATGCTGATAAGGATGTGGAGAAAAGGGGACCCTTATCCACTGTTGGTAATGCAAATTAGTACAACCATTATAGAGAACAATATGGAGTTAACTGAAACAACAACAAACTAAAAATAATTCTACTGGGGTCAGCATTGTGGTTCAACAGGAAAACACTCTACCTTCAAGTGCCAGCACTCCACATTAGGCACATTAGGCAATGGTTAGGCACCATTCTGTGTCCTAACTGCCTTGCTGCCCATCCAGCTCCCTGCTTATGCCTGGGAAAGCAGCAGAGGATCACCCACAGCCTTGGGACCCTGCACACCCGCGAGAGACCTGAAAAAGCCTCCTGGCTCTTAGGTTTGGATTTGTTCAGCTCTGGCCATTGCAGCCATGTGAGGAACAAACCAGAAGATGCGAAATCTTTCTCTGTGTCTTTCTTCTTTATAAATCTGCCTTTATAATAAAAATAAATATTTTAAAAATTAAATGGTTCTACCGTATGGCTTAGTTATTCCAGTTTGGGGCATATGCTCAAAAGAAATGAAGTCAACATGTGAAAGTGGTACCCACCTGCATTCCCCTGTTTGTTACAGCTATTCAGAATAAGCAAGATAGGGAATCAACTGAGACAAAACCTCCACAGAAGGAAAATATGGCTTATATATAAAATGGAATATTCTTCAGCCATAAAAAGAAATGGGATCCTGACATTTGCAGTAACTTAGATGGGAGGGAAGGTCCTTCTGTAAGCTGAAACCAGACAGACAAGGAGAGACAAATGCACATCTTCTCAAATGCAAACATTGCAAAAGGCGGTCTGAATTTGGAACAGCGATTCCCAGAGGGTGGGAAGGATAGGGAGAGGAGGGATGGAGGCTGGCTGATTATGGGTACCAATGGACATATATTGGATGGTGTATGTGTCGAGGGGAGCACGAAGCACAGAGCGAGGTGCTCCCCAGCACAGCTGGACGACTGTTGTTCACACATAGAGAGGGTCGGGTAGGCTCCAACTGTAAAGAGATGGAAGATCTATGTGCCTGATCTACCTGAAAATACGTGTTGAGATACTGTACTCTACCCTTCTTAGACGTACAGGTATTATATGTTACTACAAAAACTACTCAAAAAGAAGATTTACTCACAAGTTGTTCATGGTAGGAAAACAGCAATTTTCTCATTGGCTCATCCTATCTCACAGGTTATCTGTTACTGAAACAGATTAGCACTGTGAAATCTGAAATAAATCTGGCTGTGTTGGGGTTTCACTAAGGCAATTCAAAGACCAATGGTTTCATTTTGTGGGGCTATTCTAGAAGTACCGGCGTGGCCCTTATGTGGAGACCGCTTCATCTCAACAATGTTGGTTTTGCTTGTTTCCTTTCTAGGGGATGTGATTTACATACTTGCTGAAAATAGGCAGAGAAAGATGGCCATCTCCCTACAACCCTCCCCCGCTTTATTCATAAGCACAGATTTGCTCATACAAGTCGGCTTAGGGTTCCTGGTTTGAGCTGATGTTTTGTTTGATGGGTTCTGTGCACACAGATGTAATAAGGATTATTGATGAATACGTAAGACCTCCTCTCTGTGTGGTTAACAACACACTGCAGTTCAAGGTTTCGCTTTTGTTAGCTCTAGGGCATTTACCAGTCATTTCCTGTATGGTGGGTACTCGGTGTAACTCAGTACAACACGCAGCTAAGGTCACCACACGGGGCCTTCTGGGCCCCTGCCCTGGGTGTCCCCCTCTCCTGACCTCTGTCCGACAGGTCTGCCTGCTTTCCCACTTGCAGGAAATAGTGCACAGCTTGTCTTCTTTCATGTGAGACTCATCCGTATTCTTGCATGCAGCAACTTACTCTCTTTCATATCTTACAGTACGTCATTGTATAAATATACTAAAACTTATTTTTTCTGTTAAGAGGCTTTTAGATTGTCTTCAGTTAGAGATGATTAAGAATTATACTTTCATCACTGTTTTTCTCTACGCCTCTTAGTATAACTAAGATTTCTCTTGGGAATATACCCAGGAGTACAATTGCCGTGACATAAGGTATATTCGTGTGTAACTTCAGGATTTAGTGTCCAATGATGTTCCTATGTGGGCTGCAGTAAGATTTTTCTTTTTAAAAATTGGCTCGAAAGGGGGAGAGAGCGAGAGAGGAGAGATCTTGGTCAAGTTTCTCCCTTCCGCTCCAAACCTAGCCCAGTGCCTGGTACATATTGGTACTTAATGTACAGTGGCAATGAATAGAATCCATCTGAAAAAATTTTTTTCAGTGTCTCAGGCATTGTATAGTTGACATTGGCTGTTACCACTTCAGCAGGTACGATTACAATGTCTACCTCGCAAACGAGGAAACCAGTTTAGTGAAAGTGAGGGACTTCTCAACGTCCTAAAGCTCTAGGCTCTCCTTCTCCCTGGCCACGGTGCCCCGGAGCAAGGCTTTCAGCAAAGCCAAGCGCACGGGAAGCGGAACCAAGCGCGACCTTGGGGGCTCCGCGGCCCAGCCCGCCAGGCGCTTCCCCCACAGGGTTGCCAGTCGGCTCCACTTCGCTCAAGCACACACCGGAAATGCATCTGTCGGCCGCCTTTCCCTCGCGCACAGCCGGAAGTTTCTGCTAGCGGCTTTCCGCGGCTGCAGAAGCGGCGGCGGCGGGGTCCCAGCTGCGGCGGCGCGGGGCCCGGGAGGCTCATGGGGCCCTTAGCGACGCCAGGGCGGCGGGTTCCAGGCAGAACCCGAGCCTGACCTGGCCCTGCAGCCGCCTCTCGGCTCCGTCCCCGGACCTGAGCCTGGTCCCTCTCCCAGGCGCCTACTCCCTACCTCGGGGCGCCCCTTGTCCTGTCCCCGCCTCCCCCGTCTCCAAGGCGCGATGGCCACCGGCGCAGATGTACGGGACATTCTGGAACTCGGGGGTCCCGAAGGAGATGCAGCCTCCGGGACCATCAGCAAGAAGGACATCATCAACCCGGACAAGGTGCCTTGGGATTGGGGGGGTTCGGGGTGAAGCTGCAGGTTGATGAGGAGGGCGAGAGGCGAGCGAGGTGAGGGACTGCGTGTGTCCCTGGCCACTGGGTGAGGGGAACGAGGCCCCAACGACTGTCTAGGAGCTGGGGGTGCCCCTTGAGCGTGCTCTGTGCCAGTGGCACTGAGCCTGCTGGCTTATTCAGGGGGCGGGTGGCTGAAGCATTGTCACCAAGAAGTCAGGGGTGGGTCTAAGGTTCTGTCCCTCTGGTTTCCTTCCTTAGAAAAAGTCCAAGAAGTCCTCGGAGACGCTGACCTTCAAGAGGCCGGAGGGCATGCATCGGGAGGTGTACGCCCTGCTCTACTCTGACAAGAAGCAAGTATTGGAACCCCAGTGCCAGCCCTCTCCTCCCCTGCTCCTGGCGGGTCCTTTTGCAATTCCGTCCCTCAGCTAGGGCTTCTCAACTCCTCTCAGGGGGGTCCCATCCTTTTCCTGTAGGGCAGACCAGCCCCCAGGGGCCCAGAGGTACCCCCTGCACACTCACACCGCATCTCCGTTTTCCTTAACCCTTGCTGCCAGGGATGCACCACCCCTGCTCCCCAGTGACACTGGTCAGGGCTACCGCACCGTCAAGGCCAAACTGGGGTCCAAGAAGGTGAGGCCGTGGAAGTGGATGCCCTTCACCAACCCGGCCCGCAAGGACGGGGCCATGTTTTTCCACTGGAGACGGGCCGCGGAGGAAGGCAAAGACTACCCCTTCGCCAGGTTCAACAAGGTGAGCGTCTGCTATTCGATGCAGAGTGGCCGGGACTGCCTTCTCTGAGCCCACCGTGCTCCGGTGTCATGCTCAGGCTCAGTCAAAGCCACCTGCTCCGGCCTGCTGGCAGACACGGGCAGAGTGGGCCTCTGCTGCCTAGAGTCCTGCTTGCTTTGGTTGTGGTGGCTTTTCTGGCCTTGCAGACATTGCTGTGTCTTTGATGCTGTGCTCTTGTGCTGTAGGTGGTCTCTCTTAGGGTGTCTCATTTGCTCTGTGGCTGCAGTTCCACTGCTGTGACCCCAATTTAGTATGTCCAGTCCAGCGCAATTGTTGCTCCCACAGTCATTTCCTAGAGTATCTAACCAAATGCCCCATGTCAACTAGGGAACCCCGAATCGAATGCACGGCTTCACCACCCCGAGCCATTCCCCCTCAGTGAACAGCACCATTGTTCACCTACAGGTCCAGATCTGCAGTCACTGACGCCTTAGTCTCCCTTTAAGCTCAAAGTACAGAGGAGATAGAGTTAACAAACCTATGGACTAAAAAGAAGTTGGATTCTTCAGAGAGGAGCCAGGAAAGGGTGAATCTGTGGGTGCAGAGAGGCCAGGTGGTGTGGTCAGGGGGCTGAGAAGGTAGGATTTGAGCTAGCCCTCAGCAGTACATCAGTGAGCCCCACTGTGTCTGCTGGAAGTCAGCTCTGCCTGTGTCCTGCATCTGCTATTGCAGCACCTGCGTCCTTGCGGTAGATGACCCAGGTCCAGCTGGACCAGGGCGTTTCTCAAACTCACTCAGCCAACAACGGGCCGAGGTTGTCTGGCTGAGGATTTGTTTGCCCTTAACTTAGGCCATTGCATCTGGAACTGCCTAGACCTAGCACCTCAAAACACTGGGGACTCAGCCGAGGATGCTGTCCTACCTTCTCCTTTCAGTGTACCCCACAGTGTACCCCATTGGTTTTCTTCCATCTCATCACCATCCTTGGCCCTTAGGTCTGATGGAAGTAGGAGCCAGGGATGCAGGATTGAGAAGGGACAGCCAATTGCCTCTCAGCCTTTTGGCTAAGATCAAGTGGGAAGGGACAGCCAGGAGTTAGGGACTAAAGGACACTCATTCTGTCTTTAGTAAAATGCCTTGACCTGCAAGCTGAGCCCTAGACTTTGAGGATCCACAAAAAAATATTATACAGTGTCTGTCCTCAAAAAGCTCTGCATTGTGTTGGGAATGAGAAGAGGCTGGCAGGATGGATGCGTGCTACACTGGGAGCTCTGATGGTCACAGGGAGACCTGCAGCACTATGAGGTTCCGCCATCAAAGATGGCACCAGCTGGGATCAGGAAAGCAGTGCAGTGACCTTCAGCAGAGAGCAGCATGAGCGTGGGCATTATACTGCTTTCTGGAAGGTCCTGAGCGTGGGATGCTGTGGATGCCTCATATCAGAGCCTGAAGCCTGAGGGAAGACATGGGGGGGAAAAGGCCTGATGGGGCAGCAGGCGCTGACAGGCAGGGCCTTGGCGAGCAGGCACAAGGATCTAGGCTTTGGGCTGATGTCGCTGGACAGCTCCTGTCGGCTGCAGCAGACATGGTCAGGCCCCAAGGCGAGTCGGGAAGAACCGAGGCTGGAGTGAGATGAAGGAGGGGGCTTCCTTGTTAGCGCTGCCCTCTTGCTCAAGCCGGAAACATGGGGGTCATCTCTGGTGGTGGCCTTTGCTTGCCCTCCCAGCCTGTGCTGTGGTTTTTACCTCCTAAAGCTGCTCCAGCCGCTCTAGTCGCTGCCCTCATCTTCACCTTCTTGTTTATTTGAAGGGAGATACAGAGAGGGAGGCAGGGAGGGACAGATCTATCTCCCATTTACTGGTTCGCTCCCCATTGGGTCAAGGCTGGGCTGGACGGAAGCCAGGATCCAGGAACCTCTTGTACGGGTGCAGGGGCCTAGGGACCTGGGTCATTTTCTGCTGCCTTCCCAGGCTGTCGCAGGGAATTGGGTCAGAAGTGGAGCAGCAGGGGTTGATGACGGTGCTGCAGGACACGACACCAGCCCCTTGGCTTTCCCTTTTCCACCTGCTTGATCCCTGCAGTCTTCCTCCCCACTGGCCTCCCAGATTCTTGCTTAACCTCTCCACCCTCACTCTATTAAATACTTTTTACTCTTCTTTTTATAAAACTAACCTTATTGGGGCTGGTGTGATGGCTCAACTGGCAGTCTTCTATCTCCAAGCACCGGCATCCCATGCGCACTGGTTCAAGTCCTGGCTGCTCCACTTCCCATCCAGCTCTCAGCTTACAGCCTGGGAAAGCAGTGGATGATGGCCCAAAGCCGTGGGACTGTATCCGTGTGGAAGACATAGAAAAAGCTGGCTTTAGATTGGCTCAGCCCCAACTGTAGCCACTTGGGTACTGACTGGCAGATGGGAGATCTCTTTCCATAAAATCTTACCTTATCTGCCCCCACTGCCCTCTGGACATGAACTGTAGGCTCCTCAGCAGAGCACACTGGCCTCCACCGACTGGCCTGCTCCGTGGGTGCTCTCCACGTCACCTTTCCCTGGCCCTGGGTGCACCCTTGCTACTGACGAGCCCTGTATGCAGGGTAGATTTTCTCATGGCGGTGTTCATGTTGGTGCCTTTGCCTTGGATTCTCTTCCCTGTTTTCCCTCATGAATTCACTTCTTAAGGCCAAACCAGGACCAATTTAACGACCTGTTCTGACCACCCGGATCCCCAGGCTAGCTCAGGCATCACTTACCACACCCTAGCTATCAAACTCTAGGACCACTATCCCATTCAGTACCGACTCCAGCTTGGGAGTTGCAGGCCCCTGATGTTGTCTCCTCCACCTAACCAAGTTCCTGGAGTGCAGGATTGGATGCTCCATTCCTGTTTTTAAAAATATTCAATGGAATGTGGGGGACTCCGGGGAGACTCTCTCCAGAGGAGTAGGTAGATACCTGAAAGAGGTCAGAGGGATGGGGTGTGATCTAGGGCCAGGGTGGGAGCCTGGTGAGTTCGGAAAATGCCATCGGCTGGCTCTAACTTAGGATCCCTGAGGCCCAGTGGCTGCAGGAGGATACGGTCAGCGGGTATGCCCCCACACCTGTGGTGTGCTGAGCAGAGGTGAAGAGCCCTGCCTCTTGAGTGTGTGAAGGCGCTATGTCTTTGAGGTGGTAGCCTTTGAGGAGTTTCATATGAGACAGCTGGGTGACATTATCAGACATACCCTCTGGAACAGCGTGTCTTGATGAAGGCCTGTGGTAAACCCAGTCCCTCAGAGACTCAAAGACAGTAAACTTAAAGGAAAAGGCCAGGTTTCTTCACGTTAGACTCAGCAGAGAACACCGAATGCATAAAAGTCTGTCCATGCCTGCTGTTTCCTTCTCATCCCAGACCAGTGCTCAGTTTGCACACGGCCCTGTTCTGCAGGCACTAGTGGCACTGTTCAGAGAGCAAGTGTTGGCTGCAGGTGGAGCCTTGACTGGAACAGAGCAGAATGAATGCAGAATGACTGAAGCGGGGAGGGTAAGGGGGGGTTATTTCCTTAGTCTGACAAGTGATGGTGTTGCCTGCACTGGGATGTGGCAATGGAGGTTTGGCAGGTAAAGCCACAGATGTGAGGAGGAAGGGGAGGAGTCCATGGGGGAGGTAGGGATTGAAGATGTTGTGTTTCTGGCAGTGCCCTGGGCTGGTGATGGGGGCGCTAACTGGGATCTGGATTGCAGGGAGCATGGGGAGATCAGTCCTGAGCGTGCTGTGGTAGAGGGGGTGGAGTGGTATGGGAGAGAATGTCCTGGAGCAGCTGTGGAACAGAGAAAATGAAGTTCCATGATCCAGTAGAGAAGCTACCCCTTCTTTGAGACCCTGACACACCCAGCTGCTGGTGGTCTGTCTGACCTCAGCAGGTGAGCAGGGGTTGAGGAAGGACATTGCTGGAATCATCTGTCTCGGAACTCCAGCCCTGTAGATTCCTGCCTGCCAGTGGAGGAAGCTGCAAGCCCTATTGTCACCACTGGGTGGCAGTAGTGCTTCAGGCAAGAGTTGCCTGGACCTGTACTCCTGGGCCCTTCTGCAGGTATTTAGCCATCTGCCAGACTCCGAAGTTAACCTTTGGACTCCACAGCAGTGCTTACATGTGAGCCCCTCACCTTAACCATGGGGGCAGGCACGTGTGTCTTGTTACCAGGTTCTGGAGCTGAGGCCCTAGTGAAGTTGTTCCCGGTGACAGTTGGAGGCAGGCTGCAGTCGAAGCCAGTCAGGGTCTCTAGGAAAGAGTTCTTCTCTCACTCCAGGCTGCCCTCTGCAGGGGAACAGGTGGAAGATTGGCTTTTGTTCAGTCCAGAGACTGGAGATAAGCAGGGGGTGGGGAGGAGTGCTGGAGCTGCTAGATAATGGGATGCCAGTGTCCCTCACTGTGTCCCTCTGTGCCAGCAGACGGTGCAGGTACCTGTGTATTCAGAGCAGGAGTACCAGCTCTATCTCCACGACGATGCCTGGACTAAGGCAGAAACAGACCACCTCTTTGACCTCAGCCGTCGCTTTGACTTGCGTTTTGTGGTTATCCATGATCGCTACGACCACCAGCAGTTCAAGGTGAGCTGGTACTGGACATAAGCACGTGCGCCCGACCCCTGGGCTAGCACAGTTCCTTCCATACGTCCCTGAGTAACCATCCCTGCCTGTGCTGACCCTCAGAAACGTTCTGTGGAGGACCTCAAGGAGCGATACTACCACATCTGTGCCAAGCTTGCCAATGTGCGAGCTGTGCCAGGCACGGACCTGAAGATACCAGTGTTTGATGCCGGGCACGAGCGCAGGCGGAAGGAGCAGTTGGAGCGTCTCTACAACCGGACCCCAGAGCAGGTCAGTCCCAGGCACCCCGCCATGACCTCCGCGCTCTCACCCTCACTGTTTCCGTTGCTTGCCTGCTCTCCCGGCATAGTCATTCCCCTGCTCTTCCCCATTAGCCCAGCATACCTTCCCCGCCTACCCTTCTGCTCACATGTGGCCTCACCGGCTTCCCAGAATCTCTTCCTTTCTCAGGTAGCGGAGGAGGAGTACCTGCTACAGGAGCTGCGCAAGATCGAGGCCCGGAAGAAGGAGCGGGAGAAACGCAGCCAGGACCTGCAGAAGCTGATCACAGCAGCAGACACCACTGCGGAGCAGCGGCGCACGGAACGCAAGGCCCCCAAGAAGAAGCTTCCCCAGAAGAAGGAGGCTGAGAAACCGGTGTGGAGGCGAACCCAGCTCGGGGCCGGGGGCAGGGTAGTCACCCAGAGCTGGCAGGCTCACTCCCCGTACCACCCTTCTCTCCATGACTCCTCCCCCAGGCTGTTCCTGAGACTGCGGGCATCAAGTTTCCAGACTTCAAGTCTGCCGGTGTCACGCTGCGGAGCCAGCGGGTATGTCACCTCCAGGGGCCGACGCTGGGATGTAAGTGGCCGCAGCAGGTGGGGCTGGTGCACAGACACAGGTCATCTCACCAGGATCTCAGGGATGTGGCTTGGGCTGTGGTCCCCACTTTCTATTTCCTTTTCTGGCCCAGAAGACCCTCCATGCATTAGGTTCTCTCTCCCACATCCTCCCCACCCCCACGGCCTTTCCCTTAGTCTCCTGGCGGGGAAAGGGACTTAGCTACCTGGATCGTTGCAGATGAAGCTGCCAAGCTCTGTGGGACAGAAGAAGATCAAGGCCTTGGAACAGATGCTGCTGGAGCTGGGTGTGGGTGAGCTGAGGATGTGCCTTCCCAGGGCTGGGGAGAGTTGGAGCAGGCGGGGGTAGTTCTATTGTTGTATCTCACTCACACCCCAGCTCTCGCATCCCCCCAGAGCTGAGCCCAACGCCCACAGAGGAGCTGGTGCACATGTTCAATGAGCTGCGCAGTGACCTGGTGCTGCTCTACGAACTCAAACAAGCCTGCGCCAACTGCGAGTATGAGCTCCAGATGCTGCGGCACCGCCATGAGGCACTAGCCCGGGCTGGTGTGCTGGGCGGCCCCACCGCCTCGGCATCAGGCCCAGCCCCAGCCACTACGGAGTCTGCAGTGTCGGAAGCTGGACTTGGCCCTGACCCCACCAAAGACACCATCATCGATGTAGTGGGCGCGCCCCTCACACCCAATTCGGTAAGAGATGGACAGGCTGGGAGGGCAAGTGAGCACAGCCCCTGCACCGAGACACCATAGTGAGGGCCTGAGACTTGGGGCAGGAGCGGGGGACTGGGCCATCTCCTGAGCGCAGGAGGTGCGCACAGAAGCCCGAGGGCAGGCCCTGGGGCCACTGACCTCTGCACCTTCTGTGTCCTCAGAGGAAGCGCCGGGAATCGGCTTCCAGCTCATCTTCTGTGAAGAAAGCCAAGAAGCCATGAGAGCCGGCCACCTAGGGTGCGGGTGATCCTGTCATGTAAATAGAGTTGCTGAGTTGGACTGGGTTGCTGCCTTTTCCTTTCCACCTCTGCTAAAGCCTCCAGCTGGGAGGGGTAGGGTGGGGTGGGGTGGGGTGAGGTAGGGTAGGGTGGGGTAGGGTGGGGTAGGGATCCTACAGCCACTCCAGGAGTTGGGACCTGCCTTGGCCTTCTGACCACTGGCAGCTCCCTACCAGTTCTGCCAGACTCCATCTAGGACGTTGTGGTCTCCACTCAGGACGGCCCTGCACACACCCAGAGCCTCATTTCCCCGACTTTATTCAGTGGCACGTTCACAGCAGGGACAAGGGTAGACACAAGGTAGGGCCTGATCTGTCCTGGAGCCCTGGGGGCACCACACACCATGCACTATGGATGGGAGGGGGCACAGGGGCTCTGGGGGCCCCAGCAGAAGCCTGTGTACCAGGGAGGGGGCAGTGAGTGCCTGGGTCCCCCAAGTCCAGGCCCACAGTAGGAGGGGCTGATACTGGGCTGAGGTCAAGGGGTGGGACTGGGGGGTGGCGGGCGGGGGGAGGAGGGGACACAAAGTGTCTGTTTCACTAGTGCCAAGTGGCCAAGCCCTTGCCCGGGGAACAAGCCCACAGGGCAACCAACCAGGGGACACTCTGGACACAGAGCTGTGCCACTCTCCCTTTTCCCGCCTGGAGTGGGAGAGGAGGGTTTTGGGCTGGGCCAAGCAGCTACCCTGTCCTGCCCCATCCCATCCTCGGCCAATCAGAATGGTTTTGATGTCTGCTTGAAGATGAAACCTCGATAGGCGAGTGTCTTCATGATGTTGGCAATGTTCTTGCAGTCATCTGGAAAGAAAGAGGAGGGGCTTTTAGAAGGGTTCCAGAGTCTTCCCCTCTCTGCCCTCAGTGCAGTGGGAAGCAGGGCAGATTTGGGAGCTGCAGGCTCTAGAGGGCCCCCCTCCCTGAGGCAAGACCTCCAGCTTCAAGTTGGGATGGGTGCTGCTCGGCCAGCAGGAAGCTCCATCTTGATGCTTCACAGCCCCATAATTCATGCTGGAAATTGGCCGGTGTGTCCCAGCCCAACCCCAGCAGTGATGTATGGGCGCCGTCGCAGTAAGAAAAAGGCCGAGTAAATGTGTAATTTCTCCCTTGACGGCCCCCGGCCGCTGGGCGATCCTTCTTGTTGCCGCCGCGTGGGGACGGCCCGTCCGCCACACTCTGTCTTCCCGCCACCCGCCTTGATGTCTCCATTTCATTACTGTGCGGCCATTCATCACGCCCACGGCCAGGGTGACTTTGCCAGCACTTGCATGCGTGTGGGAGATGTGGCCCAGGCCATAATCACTGGTGACAAGGCACACGATACAACACTGCTGGGCCAGGGCTCTGTGTCCAGGCTTGTGTACTCAAAACAGCAACTTGCCTGGTTCCTGAACAGCTTTGGAGAAGTTGGGGAGGGTTACAGTGGGTGGCCCCCTCACAGCTTGCCACCAGCCCTCTAATGAACACACCTGAGCTTATCAGTCCCAGTGGGCTCGAAGCTGGATGCTGGCCACTCTGGGGGCCTGTATCTGCCTATACCTCAGCTTAAATGTGTTCCTGGGTGCAGGAGCCTACCAGAAGCAGTTACTTCATGTGGGTCCCCGTGAGAAATGCCCATAAGTCTCCTGGAACCCTGGAGAGTGTAAGCTCAGGCATGCTGGGGTGGCTGAGTCACAGATGTGAACCAGGTCTGAGGATGCAGCTACCCAGAGCTTGTCCCACTAAGACAGAAACAGCCTGGGTGCCTAGGCATTTCAGAACAGACACCAATGCGTGCTTCCTTCACCTGCTCTCCCACCTCCCTTCAGTGTACAGGGGCCATGACCAGGGCCTCAGCCACCACCAGCCCTCATGAGATCGATGCTGTGATTACAGAAATATTGTACACTGATGTCATAATCAAGTGTGGGGGGTGGTAAGGTCAAGGTGGGGTCAGGAGGCCCCTGCATCTGTCAAGAACCAGCCCTTTTCACTAGGCCCCTCAGGCCAGCCCTTGCAGGACCTCACAAGAAAAGAGCTGTGGGAGGGGCAGGAGGTGTGGTTAGCCAGGGCCCACCCTCAGTAGCCAGGCTCCAGCCCTGCAGATCCTGCTCAGAGCAGACAAATCAGACAGGATCTTGTTTCACAACAGAGCTCAACATGTATGCACATGGCGAGTTGACACCTTGTTCACCTAGGGCCTCAGGAGGCCTGATCTGAGGCACAATGGTGGGAAGACAGATGGGTGGGTAGTGGCGGCCATGGCAACTCCAGACGTGACCCATCCGCGTGGTTTATGGGCCGGACACGCACCCCGCTCAGCGGAGGACCCATCATTTGTCTCCCTTAGTGTATATGCCTATGCTGTGGGGGTGGGGAGTGCAAAGGGAGGGGTGTGATGAGAGGAGCTAGGCGTGACAAGGGGAATGGGTCAGGAAGGGGCCTGGGAAAGGGAAGCGTTGTGGCAGGGCCCAGAGCCTGTGTGGTACCACTGGAGGGACAATGATATGGTGATTTACCAAATTTGCCTGGCCCTGTCAGAACTGCCAGTCCTTCCTGTCTCCTGCACTCTGGGGACCGTGGCTGCTGTGCATATTAAGAATAAGTCCCCTCGTTATCTGCAATTACCCAGCGGCCACACACCTCATTTCTTCCAGCAGAAAAGAAAATTAGTTTTCTATTGACTTCATCTGGCCCCTCCCTCACTCATTGCTGGACAGATCACTCAATCTGCCTTTCCTGGCCCACGTGAATGTCCCACCCCGACCCCAGGCCATCCAGTGGGCAAACAGTAACTGCCCACCAGCATCTGGCCCAGCGCTGGGAAGGTCCACTTGCCCCAGTCTGTTCCTGAACTCTTAGCCAAGCCTGAGAGTCATACACCAGAGATCACCATTTCCAGCTTGGAGTGCTCCTGAGCTGTGGACCACAAATCCAGAGGCCCCCAGACAGCGCCCTCTACAGATACTGAACAGGACATCCTGTGGCACACACAACTGCTGCTTAGTCCCACATTCTCCATCCCTGTGGAGGGCTCGACACCTAAGTCTGATCAAGTGTGAACTTCAGATTTCATCTTACTATCCCCCTAATCATTACTCCCTTTATCCCAGCAGCAATTGCTGTGATCCAGACCCCCGCCACACTACTTGGACAGCTCCTCAGCTAGTCCTCTGCCCTCCTCTAATCCATTCTCTTGTAGCCAAAGGATCTTACACAATATAGCCATATCCTCTAATTCCCCATGGCTCTCCCTGCCCTTGGTTCACTGCTATTCCTGGTCTCAACTCTATCCCTCTCCATCTGGCCCCGCCCAGTCACTGTGCTCCAATCTCAAGAAATGTAATTCTGAGATCAACATCTGATACAGGGAGCTTGGGCAACATGCAGTCCTGGTTCCTGTAACCTCCACTGGGACTGCATGGCATGTGACCATTGCGCAGGTTTCTAAATGTTGGGTTCCTCTCCCAGGAATGGCCTCACTGATACTAGAAGCACTGAACAAGGTGGCATGTGTGCACACACACACACGCGCACACACACACACACACACACGCCTCTCTGCCTCATTCCTCTGCAGGCAGGCATGCCTCTTCCTAAGAAGGCCAGAATGCTGTTTTCCTGGGCGCCCCAATGAGGAACAGTGTCCACTGGACAGTTTACACAGATGACAGGCAAGGCCCAGCATATTTGACAAGCCCAAGTATCAATCACTCCGTAACACTGACCGCTAACTCTTGTTACTGGGGATCCTGGATTCTGACTTGTTGCAACTGGTTATCTATCATGAAGAGTCAGAGGAGGAGATTTGTCCCAATTTCCCCAACTTGTCAGTGAGTGGCACTTACGACCTTCTAGCCCCAGGCTTTACCCCCAGCCCTTGACTCTCAACTAGTCAGTTGAATGTCAGTGGCACACTTTGAAAATAGGAAACATGGCAGAAGCAGCACCAGATAGAGGCTTGGGGGTTTTTAACAGAGTAGCAGGCAGGGTTAGTGTGGTGACAGTATATCCTCAGGAGAGACCTCTGCTTGAAGATCAGGGGCTACCTGGGTTGGCAGCCTCACATTCCAGCACCCCCCCTTGGGCAGCTGCAGGGGTCCAGGGTGCAGCCTTGAGCCCACAATGGGAGCCTCCCAAAGTAGGACTTTCCTACCTTCAAAGTCTAGAATTTTTGTTTGCTTTTTATGTTCCTGAAGTGGGGAGGGGCATCAACCTGTGACAAGACAACCTTCTCTGGGCATTAATATTTTTCATGTTGGACCTATTTTTAGACCACCAAGACCATAATGGAAGGGGAGGGGTGCAGCTACTTAAATCCCTCTGAGAGGAGACTTCTGGGCGAACACCTGACTGGGAAGGGTGAGCTTGTTGGCTGGACCCTGAGGAAATCAAATACCTGCTTGGCAAAGGTGTGCCTACTGGAGGGGTGGCTGAGATCATGTGAGAACCTACATAGGGCGAGCCACCTGAGGTCGATGTGCCAGAGCTGGCTGTACTTGTCTGAGAACTCAGCAAAGGAGGACAGGAAGTCAGCCTTGGGCTAAGAAGACCTTCAAGAGGGAAGGGGCCCTAGCAGCCCCTCAAGAGCCCCTCATTCTTGCACTCAGTGGCTCCACAAACATGCATAAACACCTTCCTTCTGCCACACTGGGTCCAAGAGAAGACTCCTTGCCTCCAAGAACTGAGAGAGCCCTGGAAAACATGCAGTCCTCCATGAGGAGGAGGCTGGGAAAGCTGCCCAACTCCAGCAAGAGTGAGCAGAGGGTGTAGGGGACTTGGAAGGGGCTACCACGAGCAGGTATTCTCAGCCTTAAGACAAGCACAGGCACACTTCTGGAGGTGCAGCAGTGTCCCCAAAAAGTAAATTTAGCGGCGGGGAGGGGGCTGTGGGTAAAGGGGAGGCAGAACAGAACACAAGGGTGTGGCTGTGACAAGAGATGAAGCTAGTGAAGTCATCAGTGACTACCAGAGGAGCAAGGATGCCCAGCTAGGGAACTCAGTAATTGGCTGATCTGGGAATGAACATGCTTA